CCCCCCCGTCTCTTTTCCGAGTGCGTCCACACCGTCCACACGTGTGTGCAGCCAAGTGCAGCAGGTGCACCCGGCCGGGAAAAAGGGGGAGAGGACAGCTGCACAAAAGACACGACCAGGATCTTGGCGACGTCTCGACTCATATACGAATCATAAAAGCAGTTTCGCTACTTCATCCTCGTCGAGTCAGGAGGAATCCGACGTCCGGGCGCCAGCAGGAGCAACCTGCATGCGTGGGCCAGGGGCGGTGCCAGCGAGATAGGGTGACTGACCGACCCATCAACTATGAAACGAGAGTTAAACTTTTCAAAGGGGGTATAACTGCTCTAAGGTTACAGTTCGGTACGGCAGTGGGACAATCCGAACCTCGGATCGGCCCCCGGGTGCAAATATGTAGCGAGGCCAAAGATTAGAGACGGAGCACTCACTTAAATGCCGTGCCGTTGGAGGGGAGACAACATTCCATGCGGCGCTTTGGTGACACGAGCCGCGTATCCAGCCGGCCGGACCCGCCCCGCCCGGGGGCCATGTCTTTGGCGCACCTGTCTCTCCCCGCCCCGCCCGGCCGTCGTCACTCGAATTGCAGCAGAGTGTTATTTTATTGCCGTCTCCTCCCCATCAACGAGCCCGGCCGGCGACAGCCGCGCCACGCCCCTACCGCCGCCACCCTCCTCAGGGACTTCCCCCTGCCCTGCCCTGCCCACGCACAGAACGCGGACGGGACACCTTTTCCACTCACCTTGGCCGCCACGATGCTCAGCCCCATGCCGTTGTTGGACTTGTGCAGCTTGATGACCTGGTACTCGGGCTGCTGCGTCATGGCCGGCTGGAAGCCGCTCGATCTGTTGCTCATGGCGCTCGGACTCCTCGCCTGCGACGAGAATATGAGATTGAGTTGCGGAGCGCGTGTCGCAAGTTTACAAAGTCAGTCCAGCCGCCGCCGGGCAAAGAGAAAACTACTGACTATGAAACACACGACGCACGTTCGACGGGGCTGGTTTACCCGACATCCACTGGCGACTAACTAACTACTTACCCCCGGGTGGTTGTTGTCCTGCATCTGGTACACGGTCCACATGCCGCTCGACGTCGGCTGGACCGTCATGCGGCACAGCCCCGCGTGGCTCAGAGGTGCTAAGAAGTCGGCGAGCCCTTGGGGGACGCCGCGCACCACGTCACAGCTGTAGCCGTCCTCGGGCAGCAGGAACGGCAGCTGCAGCAGCGGCTCCTCCGTCAGCTGCACCTCCCGCCCGTCCGTCCGAGCCAGCTCGTCCGCCACGTTCTCCGCCACCTGTGTCGTCGGCGATTCGGAAGAATAGAAACGGCAGCTTTGAGTAAGGACGTCCGACCGAGGTGCGCGGCAGCGCGTCGAGTGGGTGAGTAGTGGTGTGACAAATTAGCAGGGAAGTGACGAAATGCGGGGTTACGCCACAACCAAGCACAGAAGTATCAGATGGGTTAATTTTGCCAGAGAGCAAGATCACCTACTCACCACCTGGCACAGTGTACTCAATGCTCCCATGAAGCCCACAGAATTATGTTGCAGATAAATTTTGAAGGGAAAGGAAACAGATTTGATAGTTAAAGTTAAAATGAAGCAAGATCGACAAAACCGCATTGCCAATTTTGTATTTTGGAAAAGACAGCAAATGTGAATGGGCATTGAGACACTGACCAGATAACCAAAAATGGAACGTACCCTCACCACATTCTCAACAAGCTCTGCGGATAAACGAGGTTCATCTGGAGCTGGTTGGTACTTTGTAAGAAGTGCTCTAAGTTGGAGCGAGTTCAATTTAAAACAAGTTGAACTTATTGTTGCTAAATCATCAGCTGTATACTTTGGTGCCTGTAAAAACATTTTTTGGTGCTTACATTTGAACCAATATCAAATAATAGAGAAAAGAACAACACAAAAAAGGAAATGACAATTAATGTACCTGCAGTAAGTGGGCTGCCTGAATTATCCTTGCTAAGTGACAATCTGCAGCCAACTCCAATCCTTGCCTTTCAGCCCACACCTCCAGTTGGGCTAATCTTGACTTAAACCTAAGTCCCCAAGCCCGTGAGCAGTAACACACACTCGATGCCGGTGATGGGCTGGTAACAACACAATTGAATGCCCACACATTGACAAAGTGAAAGAGTTGTGAAAAGAGTTGAATTGTGAGAGCGGCATTCACTCGGCAGCGCCTCAATAGGCTCATTGTGTTGGTTAAGACTTGCAACACCTGTAACAAGAATAAATTGGCATAAATAACAAACCAAACATCAAAATTAAAACAGGAAGATTTTTTTTTCCAGTAGGAATTACGTACCGATCCATTCTCTTCATCTTGCAAGTCATCTCTCTCTGACATGAATGATGGCATTACTGCTGATAATTCTCCTTGCAAACATGACACTAAATTACGAAATGCCAGTTGTACTGCTTCTGCTAAAATATCTTGGGCATCTACAGAGAATGCTGACACATGGCGATCTGACTTCAAAAAGTGTAGGAGCTCTGATGCATTTGCCATCCAGAATGCTAATGAGAGAGAGTCTGAGTACCTCTCCTGAAAGATAGATAAAGATTTCATTAAATAACTATACAAGTTACTGTTAAGGATTGTAAATCTAGACATTTAAAATATATACCTGAATAACATTTTGGATCATAGCTGCTACTCTTGCTAACAGAATGGTGAGTCTGTCAGCTCGCTCTGTAGGTGTTAAATCAGGCTGGTAGTGAGTTGATGCTCTATATCGAGCAGCCAGGTACAATGTGTAAGTTGGTGCCAACTTTAGTCCAACAGAGTTGGGGTCTAAGTCGGTAATAATGGCATGTAAGAACGCTTCCTCAGTCTCTTCCCTAAATTCCAAAACGGCTGGGAGAATTGCGTCAGAACCTCGAGGGTAACGCTCATAATGAGAAAGCCTGAAAATTTAAAAAAATATAAAGAAATGTGTGATAGGTGATAATAAACTCTTAACATGAACTTAATCTAGTTTTAAATGTACAATGCATGTCATGATGAAAAGCACATAAAAAGCAAACAAAAATCAAGAATGTCCAAAAATAAATAAAGTGAAGGTGAAGGAGCACCTAAAAGCGTTGGGACCATAACATTACCTATTTCCATCTCGACTACTGCATACCGATCGCTGGGATCTAGTTTCATCTTTGTTGCCAAGGCTGGATGTTGAAACTGTCTCTACATTTCCATCCACATCAAATGTGGTCTCATAGTTTTGTGTACTATTACCACCAGGCATAATTGATGTGTTGTTTAAGATACCAGAGGGAGAGGCAGGGTCTTCTCTTGTGGATTGTCTGTAGTGCATGCAGTGCAAAACAACGATAATATAAAAAATGAAACAAAATATACAAAAACATAAAATGAAAAGCTTCCAATATAAAGTGCCCTAAGCAATTTTGATGAAAAGTGCAAGTTGAAATGGAGCTATGATACTATACACATATATGGCAGGTGACTGATGGCCCCCGTCCACATGATCGTAGTTCGACTGTACAGCATGCAGGAGTTCGGGCGAATACTCGCTCGATCTCACGGCGCTATCACGGTAGCGGCCGTGGTCAGAGATGATAGGCAAACCCGCCCGCACGCGTGCGTGCGGTACAGTCTAACTGAGATTGTGAAGGGGGCGAAAGAGCCACATGCAATGTAACGAGAAAGAAAATGCTAAACTGATCACATGAACTTGTGAGCTTTGCTAACGTAACTGACCTGTCGTAAGAATAATCATGTGCTAATCGTTGCCTGTTCCTATCTTCGAAATTGGGGTCAATGAACCTGAAATTGTGTAGTCGTCCGAACTTCACCGTCGATCCATTCTGCAAAGCAAAAAAATACATAAAATTATTTCAGTCAGACCTCCTCCCTCAATACGACAATAAAACCACGCAAAACAGACGGGCGAGAGCCCCTTCGCTCCCTTCTCTCACCTGGAGAATGGTGGTCTCGTAGATGCGGATGCCGTTGACGTACGTCTCCGCGTCCCTGCTGCACGGCGTGACCGTGACGATGCCCTCGGTGTGCGCGACCACGCAGTGCCGGGGCATCACGTGCGGGCCGTGGAGGGTGAGGCACTGCGACTGCGCCGCTTGGTGCCCGTTGACTGGCCTCTCACTGCCCACCTCCGTCACGTTCAGCTGCAGCTTGTGCCGCTGCGGGCTCGCCGACATGATGTCCGTGCCGTCTGGAAACAGAGAGAGAGGACGACCGGGGTGAGCAGAGAAAGAGGACGACGGGGACGGGGACGGGGACGGGGACGGGGTGGGTCTTGGAGGTGCGTCGGCCGAGGATAGGCAAGCAACCGGGCGTGGCCCAGGGATGACCGCTGGCCCCCGGCTGGGCTGCAGCCCACAGCCCCAAATCAATACACATATAGCGCGACAACAAGCCCCCCGATGGATATTTATACCACGCTAATGGTCCCCACCAACCATAACGGGGACGCGTTTTCTAAAAATAACCCCCGCGAATGCAGCGGCGGCGCGCGGCTATTTACTTATTCCCGCCGCTGGTGGCCGGACGAACCCCCGGGGGGTCTGGGTGAAGGGGAGGCTCCCATACGACCGACCCTCAAGCGGCAACAACGTCCAGGAGACGGCGGTGGCGGCGCTGTCAGTGCCATGTTCTTGGCCGCTCTCCTATGCTGTCACCCCCGACCCACTTCCGGGGGGTGGCCCCCTATCACGAAACTAGCCAAACTTAACTCAGCGACTCCTTGGCTGGCGTAGAAACTTTACCACACAAGATGCCGCAACTACTTTAACTAGCAAACATAGTGACTTTAAAAGAGTATTTTTCAGATAATGAAAATAAAGGACTTTTGAAAAAAAAATCCTAACTTGGCAAAAAGTTAAGAAATTTCTAGCTTAGCCCCCCCCCCCTTCCAGATTAAAAAAATTATACTCAGCAAAATCAGATTCATAAAAAAATGTTTACTTAGCAAACATTTTAGTCTATGCTCTGCCATACTTAAAACACGAAGAACAAAACGGGTTACCCAGTAATACCCTCGTGCTAACTCACCTGGGTTCAACTCGAGGAAGAAGGGGAGGCGGTCGTAGGCGTCGTCGTAGCGGCCGTCCATGCCCTCCAGTCCATCCTTGCCCCACTTGCCCGCCTGCTGCGGCTTCTTCTTCCGTTTCCGGGGGTGGTAGTCGGCCGGCCTGCGCCGCACGTGGAACATGATGGACCCTGCGAGACACAAAACAATTACAACCATTAGGCACTTAACATTATTTTATCACATCTTTTTATTTTGGGTGCACTATCGTTATCATCTTTTATCGTCTGTAGATCGCCGACCCTCTCTCATCGACCCGGGGGGGGG